CTAGTGAGAGATTCAAGTCTTCATGAATGTCCCATTGTTGTAATGACTTTTACACTGAACATATTCCTTCTGATGTATTGNCTCTTTCTTGGCTAACCCCTCCCGCCCTCAACTACATTTTAACCGATTCCCGATGAAGCCAACATCAAATCAACAAGATGAATCCTTTACAGTTGCGCTTACAAAAGCTTCCCTACTCTTCAGGCTCTTCGCCGAAAGTATCAAAGTGCGACCGATGTGGAAATCGCCATACAAGTTCATGAGCATACAATAACAGCACGAGATTGAGAAGGCGCTTTGTAGGGAAATGTGTCAGCTCAAGGTCTGAGTAGTGGAAAATTTAAGACGAAAGAGGATAAACAATGAGTGAACGGCTACATACCCTATCAAAACACAACCCACAAATCAATCCCATTGGAAACATTCTAATCAAAAATGAAGTCAGTAAGCGAATCCAGATGCAAACGCAAGCTTGTATGTGCACCATGGAAACCGTCACGCTGAGGTTGAGACGACTGAAACTCTCCGACGACGGATCGAACTTGTCAATGCTGACACGCAGTGATGTACGGTGATACGTGGAGCGCGTTTACTAGTAGTGCTGCAGGTCACGAGTGCACCAGGTCCGTGCGGAACCGTAAGTTGGAAATTTTCGTTCATTTCGACTTCATTACCTACTATTAGATCAATTCTGTGAGATCTGTTTATTAGTGATCTTGCTTATGTTAAAACTGAAGCAGCAAAAGCCTTTGCAGAGGTGTTTTCTATAAAAGTCGCCCTGTTACTTATTATGCAGTTTGCCTCTTATCCTTGCAGTTTAGTACTGGTCTCTTGTGACCACATGCTCTATCAAAGTTCCTCAGTTGATAAACAAAGGAAACTAAGAATTTTGTTGTTCCTTTTAAATAGCCAGGCCGCTTGCTTTGAAAGTAATAGATGTTCAAAGGGTTCAATAATTTCGGCGCTCTCGTAAGTTATCCTTCGGGGACCTCGAAGGTCTTTTCAACATTCACGCAAAAGTGGCTATCGCTTTTTCTTTGGCTTGAAATTAGGCAGTTTCATAAGTTTACTTTACAGGTATGCCTGATGGAGGAATTGCTAGTGGTGATACACGACAGAGCGGATCACTCGAAACGATCACTTTCTATACCGTTCACATTGAATGACACGGTGCAGAGCATTGAAGAAAAGATAAGTACGAAGACGGGAATTCCTCCAGATCTACTCAAGGTAAGCGACCAGCAATTTAGTTCTATTAGAAAAGAAAAATGGTGGAGGTGAAAACCGAAAAACAAGCCTGAAGTAGCTTACTCATTTGGTATCTCTCCTTCACGGATGAGGAACTGTCAGGACAACTTTTTTTTTCAAGTATAAGAAAGTACTGGGATTTGGGTCCTCGGATGGCAACACGCTCAAGGCTCTGCTTGCTGGAACGTAGAGCGAGAGCTGCACGTAGAGTTTCCGAGATTTTCAGAAGCTTCATAGTTGGCATATGATTTTCAGCCGATGTTCAATTCTGTTTTTCCTCCTTGTCTTGCGGTTTCTGTTATCCTCTCTCGTCATATTCAGGTCGTACTGTGTGGACGAGCACTAGAGCGAACAACATTCCTGAAAGATCTTCTGCTAGGACCAACGACGTAGGTTTTCTGTCAGAGTAGGAATTAGCTCCATAATCTCATAGTGATGGTGGGAATCTAGTGAGAGATTCAAGTCTTCATGAATGTCCCATTGTTGTAATGACTTTTACACTGAACATATTCCTTCTGATGTATTGTATATTAAGTTCGCTCATTGCCTTTATCGAAAATCGCCCATCTTCCTCATCGCCCGCAACCGATGCCAAGGGAGACACTCCACTGGTTCGTAATACACCTGAAATCGGATCGTTCTATGTTTGGTGCAAAAACTGCCACGACATCAACCGGGCCAAATTGCGAGTTTACTGCAGCGCATGTAATTCCTCTGCTGTACTGGTAAAGAAGGAGCCATCATGTTGGAGAGATGTTATGAAGAGGTATCAGCTTTTCATTTTTACTGGTCTATCATTGAAATTCTTCCTTTAGCCGCCAGATTGAGGTTAACTGTGCCGACTGTAATGACGCGTCCTACGCCGTATTCTATTTCAAGTGCATCACATGTAATGAGGTACTGTAGCCGTTTTTGAGTTACCTTTTTGATTGCTTGTCTATGTAGTGGTATTCGTTGCCAACAGTTACATGGGTAAGTAAATGCATGCTCCAGTAGAAATTGATAGCCATCTGATTGCATCTTGTTGCCATCTGAGGGCATCCTGGAACAAGTTTCTGGCGCACAGCGCCTTATTCCACTTCCTTTCAGATAGGAGCCGTACTTTCTCACATTCGTGGTAATTGGGAGCATGCTGAATGCAGCGTCTGCTTAGATGAACACACCACGTACCTTTTCGATCTCGGCTGTCATCATATGGTTTGCCGACAGTGCATGTATGAATGCTTGGCTTTCGCTCTCAAAGAATCTCGCTTCGTTTTTCGTCCCCCATTTGGCTACACCATCACCTGCCCATATCCAGGTTGTGAAAGTAAGTACACAGCGGATTACACTTTAGGTTTTGGAAAGGTTGGAAAAACTTGTAAATTTTAGTGATTTTCCCGTTTTTCTATGAAAGTATGATACCTGTTAGGGTAAATGAAGCGTAGTAGGGGCTTCCGGTGCTTCTGAATCAGTATTTACTTATTTGTTTCTGCTTTTACAGGGTGTGTCACCGATGTGCACCATTTTCGGATACTGGGTGACGAAAAATACCAGTTATATCAGAAAATCGCTGCTGAAAAACTTGTTGAACTGGACGACAGAGGTTAGGTTTCCCGTTTCTTACAGCCACCTTTTATAGATGCTCCTCTCCTCAGGCGTATTCTGCCCTTATCCTGATTGTAATTCATCGTTTTTCTGGGAAACGGAAGATGACGATGGTAAAACATCGTGCCCTGATTGTCTTCGCCTTTTTTGCAGGTACAGTCCTTCAGCAGTTTGAGTTTGCACTTTGTGAAGTACCTCTCTGAATGTTCGTATTCAGCATTCCAATCTTATGATATCTTCTACTTCAGGCTGTGTAAATCTGCCAATTGCATCTGCGGTGTAGAAGATCCAACAACTATCACGATTCAAGCCACGACTAAGTGAATAGATTTTCAGAGGCTCACTACAATTACTATTTTTCCAAATCGTCAAAAATTCCTCGACCTTAGTATTCGAATCACTCTTTCCGAAGGTGAAAGGGATATCCGCCCCGAAACCCAATTACTTTACCCTTTTTGAGTAATTAACGGAGTGGGAATCCCATAGAAGATTTAAATTAGCATTACCGGAGGAAGTTCCTGTTTGTTTACTGTATGAATTTGAATTCAAACAGCTGTTTTATTCATTTTCAAACAACAAGCGATTGGAATCCCAGCTGTTGCTATGTTATTTGTCTAGCTTTTGCTTGCGAAATTCAACAGAGGATGCTGGTACTTTAGTAGAGAAGGAAGAGGGCTGTAAGCCTTAGGAGATTTGTAACCTATAGTAGAGAGGGAGCTGTAAGCCGCCCTATAAGAAACGTTTCCCATGGTTGACCAAAGGCATTTACCTGGGCATTTTCTTGGCACGTAAACTCTCGAGACCCTTTGAAATATCGTATGCTAAAGGACTTCGTTTTGGGTTGACTGTTCATCAGCGAAGCGGAAGCACAGAGATCAAAAATGATTCTGAGGGTGAATCATTTTCAAAAAGTTTCCTCTCCTTCCTAATCGTTAATGCAAATACTACAACTAGAAAATCATTTTAGGAAATGCCCTGGCTGCAGGGTGAACACCGAACGGAACGAAGGTTGTACTCATATCCACTGTACAAATTGCGGAATGGACTGGTGTTTCATTTGCGTTGCGCCATGGACCGAAGATTGTCAATGGAATCATTGGTTTGATTGAGTTTGTTCACTATGGGCTTTGAGCTCTCTTAAATGTATTTACTACTTCTCATTGAGTCATGGTAGATACTGTAATAATGTCTCAACCGGGTTAGTGTCGTATGAATATGAGTTTGTCTAAATGGTAAGTATAACAGATTATCTGATGGTGGACATGGTTCAGGATTCTCGTTCTCAGGCAACCCCCTTTTGTGATTGTACAACATCTGATTCGCTCAAAACACTCGAGTTCGCTAGGCTTTTACTTAAGAAAATATGCATTGATAGATAATAAAGTTTTTGCAAACATTTATTTGTGTACAGGAGATGCATTTTGGTGCCAAACATTCTCCAATTTGTAACGATAAACAACAACAACAAACGAAGGAACAACAACCAACTATAAAACTGGTATAAAAGAGACAAACAGCACTGAAATATCTTTTTAACTTCAAGAAGATCCAACAATTCATGGGCTCAATGCTGTACACAAAATATGCGACACAAACTAATAAATTCTTCTGTTTTTGAATAAATCAATCCTCTTATACTGGTCTGCTGCGAACCCAAAGAAATCGTATGCGACGTAACACAGTAAATCATTCCGTCAAGGGCAAATATAATTTGTTGAACATGCTGTCAGTTTTATCTACTGATTTTCAACACAAGACGTAAAGTTGTGGAGTAGTCGAAATAGCCAGTGCACAACCATTACTTAATACTGTTTTAACTATCTGCTGACCCTTCAATTTTCGCTCTTTTCTCCTTAAGTTTGATTGCCTGATTTTTATCCTTCTTCATCTTCTGACGTATACTATGGTATACTCGTTTATGCTTCTTAGGCATCATCATTTCACGCATCTTCACTTCAGCGTGCTGAAATCACAATTTATAGCGTGATGTCTTCAAGAACTAAATATCGATAATTCAATTTAGGAATAGCGTTTACAAAAGTATAACAACGAAAAATTGGCTCAACAATGAATTTCTCAATATTCGTCAATGCTTCTGTGCCATACAGGTTTTTTAATGGTGGAATACTTT